ATGTAGCGGGGTCCGCTCGTCTTATTTTGTCACGCCACTCCTCCCGATTAAATGATTGCTCGGGAGGGATGCCAAACAACTCGAGGGGAATATCCTCCCTACATGTCGTCGCCCGTACCTTCTTGGAAACTTTGTACTGCTACAGGATTGGGTGACACCACATGGAATCGAAGGGCGTTGGGAAAACTCTTGCCTACTTGGAATGGAAGGGCGTTGAGTACCTGAAGAAGGTGGAATATCTAAGCAGGTCACCTGACCTAAACCCCCTCAATTACCTGGTTCGGGCGGAGTTCAATAGGGTGGTCTACAGTGGCGGAGAAATCAACGATCTCGCTGAACTCAGGCACCCACTCACGGTCGCGTGGCAGAATCTCTCGATGGCGCTCCTCCAGAAGGCTGTGGCGGAGTATCATGATAGTATTTAATATGCTCTTTAATATGGTGGTAGAAATGTCCGATAAGAATTTAATAAAGTAACTTATAGCGCCTCGAAAGTCAAGGAAGAAAAAGTCTTTCCCCCCCCCCTGTATATAAACCAGAAGTTGTCAGTGGGTTTGTTTGTCGGACCAATAGAGAAGTGGTGGCGGTACGCCGAAGTCAAGCACAAAATCCTCGAAAGGCCCAGAAATGAGAAAAGGGATAGGAAAAATAGACGAATGTGAGCAACGGGTCGGCCATTGAAATAAGGTAGAGACACCCGCGGTGGGGGAGGTGTACACCGATAGGGTAGCGCTCGCTCCGAAAATTCACGAATCGGTTCCGAAACACTTCGAAGCACTCTAGAGAAAGGGGCGAACTTTGCATACTTCCGTGAAGAACGTCCTATGTACGGTGGATGTGCGGGATGTGTGCCAGAAACCACTTACAGGGCGGAGCGTGTCCCTTAGCACTAGGTCAACATTCCTCAGGTTTACAGCCTGGTCCAAGAAGATACGACGAATGTCAACTGCGGATTGGCTGATCAAGAGAGAGGCGTTCTCACAGTGAGGCGGCTTCACCTCCAGCAGATCCGCTAAGCGATAAATTCAGGCGTTTCTCCAGCGTTTTCCCAGCGCTTCCAGCGACGGGGCTAGAGAGGGGCTAGAGAGCACTGGACGGAGGAGAGTACTTTGTACTCTCTCTCCCCCCTCTCTAGCCCCGTCGCTGCAAGCGCTGGGAAAACGCTGGAGAAACGCTGGTGAAGCTAGATCGATAGCTATGCTTCCCGTGCCCTCGCTACGCCAGCGTGCCGCTGGTGACGCTGGTGAAGCTAGATCGATATGCATCCTCTCTTCGGCACTGCCGCTGGCGTACGCTGGAAGCGCTACGCTACGCTGCCGCAAAGTATAAACGCAGCCTAACACTTCAGTAAGTGAAATGATCCAGCATCTACTCGTTGGATGCTGCTTTTTTCCCTTCACTGGGCGCTCTGCGCATTGTTGCCTACTGGTGACTCTTCCTCCTTGAGGTTTCCAAGCTTTCTACGGAGGTCACGGTGATACAGCGGTTAGAAGTCTGTCATTAACTTGTTCAGCTCGAATCCTTAATGGGAATTGCTGTCTTCGGCGGTAACAATCCTATATGGATTCGTGTCGGTTGATTGAGTGATTGACGTTGGGTACCACCCGTTGACTGTATCCTTCCAATCACGGCGTACATTCCTTCGATAAATGAACGGAAAGAAGAACTGTTTTGCGCAGCGCTCAAATGAGGAGAATATCGAGTAAAAGAAAAGGGAAATTTTAAGAGTAACGTGGGTACTGCCACCTCTCCAAAAGGCATCATTTGATTCTAGGCTCTCACAAAGTTTTATGGAAAGGCGTGTGCGTTGCAAGGAATTACGTTCGACCTTCATCGGAAATGACTGCTTCGGACTGATTGGTGCTAACGGAGCCGGCAAGACAACAGTGTTAAACATTATTGTCGGGCTGAAATCCGCTAGCAGTGGTGAAGTACTGCTCAACAATCATACTATAAGAGGTGTACCCGTGAGTTGTACATACACTTTTCTCTTGGCTGCTTGAAAAGTATTTATCGTTTACTCTCATTTCACAAAAATAAATTGTTCCGTTCCTCCTGTGATTGGCCTAGTCAAGCCAACGGGGAGGGGCAAGGCAGTTGTATTACAGTTAGGCTGGCGGGTAAGTTTTGTCATTATTTTGACTCAATATACTTGCCCATTGCCTGATGAGGGGTGACCCGTAATGTGAGCACTTATACGGCAAGAAACAGTCTCTCTATTGGTACCACTCTCTTGACTCCTGACTCTTCTTCTTTTGCAATATGGACAAGAATGCGATCTGCTACCGTCGGCATCAACCCTACGAGCGCTTCCCCGAACTTCTCCCACCATCCTGACGCCTGTGACAGCTGCCAATGCCAAGATATAGTGGAATAGTGGAGCTGCATAAGAGCAATCCTCTCAAGTATCGGACAACCTTCCATCACACCAATGCTTCAGAGCTGGCGCCTACAGTTTTGATGACGAAGTGAGGTTTGGGTTTACAGTGAACTTAGGAGAAGATGGGGCTCATGGAACTACTGGATCAAGGAGCTGCTTTTTCAATCCTTACGCAAAGCAGCTACAAGATCTGATGCAAATCAGATCGGAGGGGGGAAATTTGTCCGCAGAGTATGCCTTCAGCATGACAATGCAGCCCACCCTGCTCGAAAGAGGTTGAGCTACTTCCTTCAGCATGACAATGCAGCCCACCCTGCCCGAAAGAGGTTGAGCTAAAGGGGTGATGGACAACTCTCGCCTTGCACCGGTCTAGGCCCAGACATTGCTCCTAGCAGCTGACTGTCTTCCGTACTTACCCATTGCACGGACGAGAAAAGTTTCACGACCGAGACCATGTTTAAATCGAGATAATGTCCAACTTTGCGTTGCGCCGGGATGCATTGTGAAGCGACTGCATCCATATGATATTAGGTTGTCCGGAAAGTTCTCAGCGTTTTGGGTGTTTCACTTTAAACGATCGTAACTTTTTTAATACTCATCGGATTTAATCGAAATAGGCACCATTCGAATCAGCACACTTTTGCCAATGTGACAGCAGTCGAGAAATCCCATCAAAGTAAAAAACTGGGTGGTCGAAAATTCACGAAATCCACTAAGGCTTTTTTGCCTGGTCCTGATTGATGAAGTATTTTCCAGCAAGGGAGTTCTGAAAATGTTAGAAAAGGTGATAGTCGGTTGGCGAAAGGTCTGAAGAATATGGCGGTTGAGGTAGAACTTCAACCCCCAATTCGTTCAATTTATGGATAGTGATTTGTGAAACGTGTGGGCGGGCGTTGTCATGCAAAGGAATCGGACCCTTTCTTTTGATAAGTGTTGGCTGCATCTGACAAAATTTTCGGTACAATTCGTCGATTTCTTCACAGTAGGGTTCTGCTGTGATGGTTTGGCCTGGTGATAAAAAGTTATAGTGGATCACACCAGCCGATGACCACCAAGCCGTGACCAGAATCTTTTTTCGTGAGGGTTTGAAAATTACCTCGGTGGTTCGTCGAAATCCAACCACTGTCCGGAACGTCTCCTGTTATCATACATGACCCATTTTTCATCACAGGTGACAATTCGGTCCAAAAACAGGTCGTTTCTGCTGCGCAAAAGCAATGCAGAAGGAACCTCGAGACGTGCCGATTCCTGCCGGTCACTCCGATTGTGGGGCACCCAATTGTCGAGTTTTTTCACCTTCCCAATGCGTTCCAGACCATCTGCAACAGTGGATTTGCCAAGGCCTAGCTCTTCTGCTATCTCTCGAACTGTTTGGGATGGGTCAGCCTCCAAAATCCCCCTAAAATCCTCGTCAGATACCGCGATGAGGTTCATCTTCAAGGCTGAAATCTCCAGAACGAAATTTGTTGAGCCATTGCCGCACAGTGCTTTCTCTAGCACTATTGGGCCCCCACACCTGGTTAATTTGTTGAGCTGTTTCGATTGCGGATTGCCCCAATTTATAGTCGAAGAAAAAAATCGTCCGAAGTGCTCTTTTCACATGCTTGAAAAAATCTTGAAAAAAGGGGGTTTATCAAGCAATGGTGAAACGGCAATTATACCATCAGATAGCGCAAGAAATTCTCTACAGGATGTGCTACTGAGAAGCAAGGCAGAATGAGTTTTTAATCAGCAGTGAATGTACAAAAAATAGGTGCACAAAACGCTGAGAACTTTCCGGACAACCTAATATATTGGCAGGTGCCCCGCCGCAGCAGTGCTGTATATTTATAATATTTTACGCCTATCTGTGAAAGAAAACTAATGTAGAAAAAAGGTCGAAACATTCTCGCCAACCTAACATATCAACACACTTCACACTTAACTAGTTCGCCATAGATATCCCTTACAGCTGACTCGATCTTTGTCACTATCCACCCAGCCCGTTTTCGAATTGGCCAGTTTTTCGGGTCTGAGGGGCCATATAGGTTTTTTTAACGCGGGTGTGTCTACACACCTCGAACTCTCTTAGCTCACTTTAGCGTGCAGACCGTGTCACTTGTGCTCAGAGCATCTTAGTCTCTTTTTAACTTGACTCGACCTAATGAAATGACCACTGAAGTGAAGCCTCCTCCCTGTCCATCAAAAAACCCGCCAGTCACTAAAAAAGCGTTTCCATGCGTATCTAGTGAAATACTCATATATTGCAGAAGATTGGATTCTGTCCCCAGTCCAACTCGCTGTCTGACATTCTTTCTCCTTATCAGAACATGGAAATTATAGCAGGCATGGCAGGTCGGAAGATTTGTGTTTGGAAAAAAACATCTTTTCAAACACATAACTCCTTAGGTTATAATGATCCTAGCAAAGTGGTGAAGGAAGTTCTAAGACAACTGCGTATGACCAGTCATTGTCGAAAGAAGGTTCAGTGCGCTGAGGTTGGGTTGCCTTGAGGGAGCTCTCGATGCATCGTCACCTTTCTGAATCCGACTCATATCAGAATTATGTTACAGTGGTGGACAGAAACGTCGAATAAGTACAGGTGTGGCAATATTGATCAACGCAGAACTTATTATACTTGATGAACCCACAGCCAGGTATCGATCCAAAGGTCTGATTTTTTGGTACTAAAACATACATATCTTCCATAGTAAGTATGATACAATTGAAAATCCCCGATTGAGTGACAAACTTGATACCCCACAAATCAAAAGTGAGCTGAGCATAAGAACTGTTGCTTGCGGAAAAAAACTTCGCTTGGGAGCTTCAATATGTGACAGAGTTGAGGCATGAGAAAGAAACCACGCTACAGGATGGATAAAAAGTTCATAGTGTAGTGTGATCCTACTATATAACGTTCGCTAAGTATGTCTGTGCTGTGTATGTATGTGTGTGTGCGTCCGTCTGTTCGTCACGAAATTCATAGAGCCGGTCTCCAGTGCAGTGAAGTATTGGTTCCAAGAAGTAATGATGAAGGGGGTGTCCAGAACACTATTGGTGGATGACAGTAAGTGATATCAGTTGATAAGATTGGACCAGAGGCGTCAAAAGGGGACGATCACCATATTCATACCAAGGGTGACAGCATCAGGCAGGTGCTGATTCCAAGATTTGATATAGGGTATGGGCCAAGAACATTACTGCTGGGTCATAAGAACTGTAAGCTGCTGATAAGATTGGATAAGGGCGCTGAAAGGCAAATGTCACCATATTGATAACGCGGGTGACAGCATCAGCGATTCGTTTGTTTCAGCAAGTGATGTAGAGGGTGAGATGGGTACATCAAAGGGGGCGACTGAAAGCGATGACTTCTGATAGGGGCTGATAAGAGACGTTCAGCCGTTGTCGCTGTTCGAGGTGGTGCAGCTTTTACACTACCAAATTATAAGGATTTAGTGATAAGGACATTGATGACGGGTGACAGGTAATCATGTCAATCGATAAGAGTAGCTAGGATATCATGCACTACATTTTTATCTTTTCTTACCACTATAATGCCAACTATTAGAGGCTCAGTGTGGTGAACTCATCCCTTGGATGTCTCAACCGAATCGAAGTCGTATATAAAGTGTTCCCTTTTAGATGGAGGCCATGATCTCAACCGGGGAGGGTATATTGTGCGCTCGAAAGGGGAAGAAGTTCATCAATTAAAAAAATTTTCTCAAATCTGGGTGTGGTATGTACATCTGCACATGATCTGTTAGGGGGTAGAGGTCGTGAATGAAGCAAAAGAAGGAGGGAACTGAACAATTCGAAGGTGAGAATGTACTTTTGGTGGTAACATCCGAGCTCTCCGTGCGAAGCACACGATGACGTGTACAAGGCAGCGTGAAATTCTCCTTTCTGGTGACGCCAATGATTCTGCAGCTGTGCCCCTTCCGAGTAAAGGTCGTGTATGTTCCGAGTAAAGGTCGTGTATGTTACACTGCTTGTCCGAGCTTATTGAAACTTCGGAATACATTGGCATTGGCACATTTTGCGCATTCTACCTCGCCCAAGGGAAGCGTGCCTTGCGAAGCCAAGTGGCTCGGCGTAGCCGGGCCGTGACACTGAAGGAGAAGCGCCCGGCGTTGGTTGGGTGATCCGACTGGGTGATTATAGAATAGGCGCCTTTCTCTGCCACACTTTTTTCTTGCATTTGACCAGGTGAAAAGTGTTTCACTATGCACACCGATCCGGAGCGCTTTTCATGTCTTTTTTTTACTTAATTACGTTTCCGGTTTCCTTCCTTGAAGATACTTCTACATACTTTTCTAAGCAATCCCGTAAAAATTAGCAGCCCGAGCTCTACCAGGGCATGTCAACAAACTTAGCTCCGAGCTCACAAAACCATGTAACGTAAAGAGAAAAAAAGGAAGTGTTGACATGAAAGGGTTCACACGGAAAAGGCTCTTTAGATGCAGCGAAGTGCCGCAGTGCGTCATGTGTAAGAACATCTCTTGTTTTGCGTGCTTTTATTTTAGCATAACTGTTTTACTATAGGCTCGACGATTTCTTTGGAATTATTTGAGTGAGCAACGGAACAGTGGTAGAGTAGTGCTGCTATCCTCACATTCAATGGAGGAATGTGAGACACTCTGCACACGCATTGGTATTCTTTGCCAAGGAAAACTTGTAGAAATTGGAGCTGTTCAGGCGCTCAAGTCCAGGTGTTTTACATGTTTTGGTATTCGTAATTATTTTTGACCAAGCTGTTTGACCAAGTTGCGTAGAAAGGAAATGTCGCTAGATGACGAAGCACGCGATGTCGCGATCGTAGCGGCTTCGACCACCATACGGGACGCTATAATGTGACCTGGTAAATCGAGACTGATTGCTACTTTCAAAAAATTCTTCAGCACTCCTCTCTCCTTCCAGCATCTGAGTTGAGTGTTCCCTTTCTTCGCACTTTTTGTGGCTCCACCTCATTCAAAGGCAATTGGCACGATAGTTTCATGTACACTATGAGAAAGAGCAAAGGTACCCAGTAATGCAAAACTAGTGAAAGAACAGGGCGAAATGGTGAGGAAACCACGAAATGGGGCTTCATGGGGCTTCGCTTCGGATGTTAAGGCATTCTGGCAGCGAACTACCAAAAACAGCTTTGGCCTCAAGAACAAACTGGGACGATGCGTTAATCGCTGGAAGGCTCTCACCAATCACAGATTCAAGTTCTACATCAACAGTACGGTGTACATGAACCACCGCAACATCAGTTCTCAGGAAAGAGCCATTTTTCAATCTGCGCGAGGATCCACATACCGAGGCCCATACATATGAGAGAATTAAAAAGGCTGGAATGGAGGTTGGTCACTGTAGTTCCTCAGAGAATGTCAATCCGTCGTGACATCAGTCACGATCCGCGGGGCAGATGTTATAGCAGAAGCAAAAGCCTATGGTATTACTGAGATGAGAATGCTGCACTACGGGACAACAAAAAAAAATTAGTGCCAGCCTTTTATCAGGTTATCCGGAAAATTCACAGCGTTTTGTGTTACTATTTTTTGTACAATAATTGTTGACTGAAAACTCATTCTCCCCTGCGTCTCAGTAGTAAATCCCGAAGAGAATTTTTGCGCTATCTGGTGGTATAATTGCCGTTTCACCATTGCTTGATAAACCCCTTTTTTAAGATTTTTTCAAGCATGTGAAAAGAGCACTTCGGACGATTTTTTCTTCGACTATAAATTGGGGCAATCCGCAATCGAAACAGCTCAACAAATTAACCAGGTGTGGGGCCCAATAGTGTTATAGAAAGCACGTGCGACAATGGTTGGACAAATTTCGTTCTGGAGATTTCAGCCTTGAAGATGAACCTCGTAGCGGTCGACCTAAAGCAGAACCTGCCGAGGATTTGAAGGCGTTTATGGAGGCTGACCCATCCCAAACAGTTTGAGAGGTCCAGAACACAGAAACAGACAGAAAAGCTAGGAGTTGGCAAATTCCACTGTTGCGATGATCTAAAACGCATTGGGAATGTGAAAAAAAACTCGACCAAATGGTGATTGATTTGATTTCCCACAATTTGAGTGACCGGCAGAAATTGGCACGTCTCGAGGTTTCTTCTTCACTGCTTTTGCGCAACAGAAACGACCTTTTGGACCGAATTGTCACCTGTGATGAAAAGTGGATCATGTATGATAACAGGAGACGTTCCGGACAGTGGTTGGATGCCGACGAACCACCGAGGCAATTTCCAAAGCCGAATCCTCACGAAAAAAGATTATGGTCACAGTGTGGTGGTCATCGGCTGGTGTGATCCACTATAACTTTTTGTCACCAGGCCAAACCATCACAGCAGAGTCCTACTGTGAAGAAATCGACGAAATGTACCGAAAATTGCGTCAGCTGCAGCCAGCACTTGTCAACAGAAAGGGTCCGATTCTTTTGCATGACAACGCCCGCCCACACGTTTCACAAATCACTATCCATAAATTGAACGAATTGGGGGTTGAAGTTCTACCTCACCCGCCATATTCTCCAGACCTTTCACCAACCGACTATCACCTTTTCAAACATTTTCAGAACTTCCTTGCTGGAAAATACTTCATCAATCAGGACCAGGCAAAAAAGCCTTCGTGGATTTCGTGGATTCTCGACCACCCAGTTTTTTTCTTTGATGGGATTTCTCGACTGTCACATTGGCAAAAGTGTGCTGATTCGAACGGTGCTTATTTCGATTAAATCCGATGAGTATTAAGAAAGTTATGATCGTTTAAAGTGAAACACTCAAAACGCTGAGAACTTTCCGTAGTGAAACACTCAAAAGCTGAGAACTCTTCCGTACAACCTAGTATTAGGCTGTGCTACTATTGAGAACCATTTCATTTCAGTGTTTTATAACTTCTCTCATGCTTTCACTTTTTTACATACTCTTAAAATTGAGTTGCATAAAATTTAAATTAGTTTTTTCACCTCCAGAATCTTCTGTATTCGACGCGGTTTTATTATACTCTGACATAGTGTATCATCCCATATATATAATTCGCTTTGTCTGTTTGTTTGTTTGTAAGTTTGTTTGTTTGTAAGTTTGTTTGTCTGTCCGGAAATTCGGTTCGACCTGAAGAACGACTTGGAGAGGTCGGGTCAAGGTGGGGATGGTAGGGCATGGGACAAGAAATAAAAAGCACACTTGACCTATGGGAAGCCCCGCCCACAGTGGGCGGGGCACTCGCCGAAAGTTTGGGGTTCCGCAGAAAAATGTTCATAATTCGCTTCCGGAGCAGCTTAAAGATGGGGAAAAAAGGGACTAAGGTTAGTAAGGAGTCGCCAGACTAACTGTGGCAGGTACACCCTAAATGGGCGGGGCGTACTCAAGGTGGGCGGTGCTTCTCGCAAAATTCAGTAACCCGGTTCGCGAGAGTGTTTGGAAGTCGCAAAAAACTCAGTGTAGAATGTAAATA